CTTAATAAATACTAAGTTGCATAAACCAGGATCTTGAGTAATTCCTAGTGGTTGGAAAGACAAATTTTCTTTCTTTCTTTCTTTCTTTCTTTCTTTCTTCCTTCCTTCCTTCCTTCCTTCCTTCCTTCCTTCCTTCCTTCCTTCCTTCCTAACAGGGTTTCTCTGTGTCCTGGCTGTCCTGGAACTTACTCAATAGAACAGAGTAGGCCAGTCTCAAACTCAGAGACCTGCTTGCTTCTGACCCCCAGGTGCTGGGGTTAAGGGGAAACAAAGTGTAGGATTTGCCATGTGGTCTCTTGAAGAGCTTTCCGTAAAGTTTACCACATCCTGAGAAGTCATTCACCGCCAAGACATCACAAGCCTCCTCCAAAGAACAGGCAGGCCCTGCATCTTTGTAGTTAGCTCGGACTCTGTCACAGGAGTTCTATATGTTGAATGGCTTTACAAAGGCATTTTATGTCTGCTGGTCCTACAGATCCAGAAGTCTGTGACTGTGATTCTGAAGGCTTGGGGTCTGGCAAAGATTGGCACCCTGATTCAGTTTCCTGGTTCACTCATGGCCACCTTTTCTAGGCACCTTCACATCGTGGAAGGGAAAGAATCTCTTCACAGAGCACTAATCCCATCCACAGTAGACCTAACTGCCTATCAATGGTCCCACCTCCTAATAACACAGGAGGTTATGATTTCTTCCTAGAAAGTAGTGAGGAAGCAAGAGGTATATATCTACATACAAACCGTAGCTTCCTGTTACCCTCCCCCTAGAGAATAGTAGCTATGTCACGAGACCTGGGTGCTGTCACAATATGATAAGTTAAATGATAATGGTTTCATTGGTTTACAACCAATGAAAGAGTACAAACATCATTGTAACTTATGTAGCAGTAATCACTCATTGGAGAGCTGCTCTCTGCCTGGAGAGCTTTCCTTGAACAAAACTCGGGATAAGATGAAGTACCACCATCAAAGACAAAAAAAGGGGGGGCGGATAGACCCCAAAACTGATAATGTGAGTGAAGTCAGTTATTAGAAAATGTCAACAAACAAATACATAAGTAAGAATGAAAGGTCCTGCAAGCTTGCTTTCAGGCTGCTTATTTAATTTTTTTTTCCACTCACTCTAGAAATTTTCAAACTCATAGGTAATTTTATGAGTGAAGGATACTTGTCTGGAGATAGTAAGATGGCTCAGTGGTTAAGAACGTGTACTGTCCTTGCAGAGGAGCTGAGTTTGGTCCCCAGCACTCATTTTGGGTAGCTTACAATCATCTACAACACTATCTCCAAGATATCCAGCTCACTCTTCCTGGCACACACATACACTTGAAAATAAAACATATCTTTTAAAAATGCCCATTAGATGGACTGACTATGATAGACTTAAGCCTTTTTGCTTGGAGGGAGCAGGAAAAAAAAGTATTAATAAAGAGCACTATTAGAATTGTTTTCTCTCTGACCCATACGCTGAGAGAAAAGCATTTAGGCCATTAAAATCTTGACCTAAGTAGGAGAGATGATATATTCCACAGGACAGAGACTCTGTGCTGTATTCTGCACATCTGAAGTCTAGCCCAGAGTCCAGCAGCTGCTAGGCATTCACTGTATGTCTGTTGAGTGAATGGATTTCCATACATTAACGTCAGTCAGAAGTCTCAGAAATGAAGAACTAGGGCATGCCATACAAAATTTTAAGCCATGTGGTGTTGTACTAATAAAAAAATACTGGTTAAAGGAGTTTTTTTTTTTAAGTGGGTTTTGTTACTAAGATTATAACTACGACCCACTTGTGATTTGTCTAGCATCATTGCATGTACATGGTAAAATGTTAAGTGTTGATTGCTATAAAGTGTGTTTGTTGGGCAGTCTACTAACCCTTGAGTTTGCAGAGAGAGGTATTTGTGTGCCAAAAGCCCCAAGACCTAATTAGACTAGAAGATCCTGGTTGGTTATTTTGTTTTGTTTTCTAAGCTGGATGTGGTGGCGCACAAATTAACCCCAGCACTCGGGACATAAAGGCGGGTACATCTTTAGGAGTTAGAGGCCGCTCTGCTCTATCCTCGTTCCAGGCTCGCCAGAGCTATGGAATGAGAAATTGTCTGGAAACTAACTAGATAATAAGTGAATAAAAAATGGTGTTTGTCAAAAATCTTCGTGTTGTGTGATAACTAAGTGAGCAGAGTCATGAGCAGAAGTATTTTGGATGGCCAAGGTAACAGATTTTCAACTAATTTTGGCTGAGACATAAACTAAGGGATAGCACATAATTATATTCACAAAAATCCATAGTCACAACTGCCAATTTCTTCATGACTAACCCTGACAGATGTTGCTTTGGTTTTGCTGAGTCACTTTTTCTCCCCCACTCAGAACTCTGTGTTCTCACTAACTCTGAATTCCCTCTGGCCTTTTCTCATGTTTTGCCTTTTACCTGAATATTTTTGGCAAAAAAAAAAAAAAAAAAGATAAAATTGCTCATTTTACTATCTCATATGCCTATAAAAGGTTTTTTTTTTTTTTAAATAAAATTATCACTCTCAATTTTACATATTGTCATAATCTTAACCTGTCCCTTTCCTGGGAAGACGGACATTTTGAGGAATTTATGCTAAGCAGCCATAAGGCCTGGCTATCAACAATCTCATCACATCCCATGACTGAGCAGATTCTGAATCACCCTAGAGTGTAGGCTGTTAGAAAAACGAAGGCAGCCCCCAAACTTCTTCATTCTGCCCTGAAACTACCTCTCCTCCAGTTAGAAGTCACAGGAACCCAAAGGAGCCTCAGCCACCTTGAGGCAGCTGGGAGAGGGTGAGCAGCTATGCCTTTCTGTTTGACAGATTTGCAGTTTCTCACCAAACCCATCTTCTCACTACCTGGCTCCTAGACAAACAAACAAACAAAGAAAACCTTCAGTGACAGGGTTCACCTCTTGAAAGTTAATGAAAACTTCCAGCTGTATGCATGGCTGCATAATAATCTTCATTCTCACACACGTTAAGCACCTCTTAGGTACTGGTAACTGTGCTAAGGGATAAAAGGGGGTGCTCCGCTTCCAACCCCCCCCCCCAAAAAAAAAGCTTGAATGAGGAAAACTGACATATGAGTGCACAACTGAAAGTATGTGAAGACTTGATGAAACTGAGTTGGTAAAGCTGTTAGCAAGCTCTCTAAACATGCACAGGAAGGGCTGAAAGAGTGTCCTGGTCATTTGCAGACTCCTCATCAGCCGCATTTCACCACTGGTTATGCAAAAGGAAACTGAGCTTTCTACGTGTCCTCGCGCATGTGTGCTATAAGGACTAGCCAACAGGATATTTCTGCCTGTGAACAACAAGTTCCCTAAACTGCCAAGTGTTTTCCCCACCGACTGCAGAACACTTCTGAGTGTGTGTGGATGGAAAAACTAATCATCCTTTTAACAGTTTTCTTGATGCAGTCTTCCTTTGCTCAGCATGGAGTAGAAGGTGGCAAGGTCAGGAGGGAAAGCCCCTGGCGTAGAGGACCACATAGGTCTACATTGTGTACTTAGGCCAGTGGTGTTGTAAAAGAGCACCTAAGAGGTTCCGCCCTGTCCATTCTCAGACAGAATCCGGCATCCTAATCAAAGCCATCACGAGTGTGACAACAGCACAGTAGCCTTTTGCTCTTCTCAGAGCCTACGAGGTGGACCTAAGCTTGACTTCACTCAAGGGAGTTATATTTATATCACATATGATATATATTACTATATATATTATAAATTACATATAATATGCATTATATATAATAAAGTAGTGGTTCTCAACTTGTGGGTCCTGATCCCTTTGTGGTCTAACGACCCTTTCACAGGGCTTGCCTAATACCATCAGAAAACACAGATATTTATGTTACGATTTGTATATAACAGTAGCAAAGTTACAGCTATGGAGTAGCAGTGAAAATAATTTTATAGTTGGGCCGCAGCACTGGAAAGATCGAGAACCACTGGTATAAAGGAAGGGACAAGTTGGACAGAAACGACAAGAAATCTTTTGCCAAGATTGTTAGGCATCTGCTATCAATAGGATAAGTGGCCTTCTCAGGCCCGAACATCTTCACAGCAAAGCCAAGAAAGGAAAGCTAGGAAATAAGCGAAGTAAAAACCAAAGCTTGTACCTGGCTGCCACTGTTCTCAGAGACAGAGGTGTGACTGGAATGATTGGACTCTTGTGTCCACTCAAAGCATTTAGAAAGAACCCCCCAAAAAAATATCTCACACACTGGAAAGCCCGGATGTTATTTACTTTTCAGTTTCATTTTTTGCTTCTCTGCATTTTGAAGGAATTCACCCAAACACACTGCGTGAGAACCATCCTTCCTGGAACCGGCTACCCAAGTCATGCAGGAACGGCGGTGGGTTGGGAGTGTGGGGGGCGGGTGTGCCAAGTGGCCTTTAGACCTAAGCCAGGGCACTTGTCCGTGGCAGACACACGTGCGTTTACTGCACCACCCTGCACAAGGAACCAAGGGACTGACAGAATGTTCTGCTAACCACTGGGCATCGGGGCAGGGCTTTGGATCTGTCCTCTGCTAATCCCAACGGTCCAGGGGCCCTAATGAGTCCACTGCTAGGGGCGCGGCGTCCATCGAAAGCTCAGGAAAAGTAAAGCTCCCTTGACTTTGAGCGAGGCTCCCTTCACGGGCAAGCCACCCCCAAGCTGGCTATCCAGGGATTGGCCCAGGAGCCTGGGTCTCCGCAGCACCTGGATCCGCCTGTGCCCAAAGACAACTCTGCGTTGTTGAATCACGGTTGAGTCACCCCTTTCGGGGTCTTGGAGTTTCCTAGGGGAGGGGGCGGGGCAGGGGTGTGGACTGAGCGGGAGCCGCCTACTGCTAAGGCGAGAGCACCGGGCGGTGGGGCGGGGAGTCGCGGGCCTCCGCGGAGGCGGCGCGGGGTGGAGAGGCCCGGGTGTCCGCGCGGCCCTTTATAACTCGCTCCGCGCGGACCCCGGCAGCCTGGGTGCAGCCGTTACCCATCTCTCGCTCCCTCGGATCGCTCCCGTAGCTCAGCCTCCGCGCCGCCGGCAGAGCCCCGCGACCTCGACCCCAGCCCTTGGACATGGCGATCCCCGCGCGCCCGCGCCTCCTAGCGGCCCTCGCGCCCACCTTTCTCGGTTGTCTCCTCGCACAGGTGGCCCTGGCGGCAGGTGAGTGGCACCGGTCCTGGGAAGCCCAGGGCGCACCGCCCGCGGAGGAGTGGTGACGGACCTGGCTGGCTGGCTGGGGGGGGGGGGGGGCTGCTCTGGTTCCTTGGGGACCGCAAGGTGTCCCGCCACCTCTGTGCTTACCCTGCGGGTTTGAATGAACGCAGCAGAGCGGGGAGGTAGTTGGTGCCCGATCCCCTGCTGTCGCAGTTGAAGATGCCTCCTCTGTGGTTGCACAGGGTGACCTGAGGTCCCCGCTTTCACTCTGAGCAGAGCTTCCTGGGAGGTCGCGCCCTTGAAGGTGGAGGGCTGGTGGGTCCGCCTCTGCCCAAGTCGGCGTGCTTTGCGTGGCTCGCATATTATCTTTGACGAGGTGTGCGCCCTCCCGTAATAAATAGCTATTCTTTCGGCCTTTGGTTTAGATCTCATAGAAGCAATGCCCCAGGCAAGACAGAGTGCGTACCCGATCTGCCCAGTGTTAATTGTGAGGCTGTGACTGAAACCCGGGGACTTGCAAGAGAGAGAGAGAGAGAGAGAGAGAGAGAGAGAGAGAGAGAGAGAGA